GACTGGAGGCCTCCGGTCACTCTGGTTTTCAGAAAGGGCAAGAAAGAGGACCCAGGTAACTATAGACCGGTCAGCCTCTCCTCCATCCCTGCTAAGGTGATGAAGCAATTTATCCTTGGCGTTGTCTCCAGTCATATCAAAGATAAAAGGGTCATTAGGGGCAGTCAACATGGCTTCACCAAGGGGAAGTCATACTTGACCAACCTGATAGCCTTTTATGAGGATATAACTGAGTGGATAGATGATGGAAAGGCGGTGGATGTGGTCTATCTTGATTTCAGTAAAGCCTTTGACACCGTCTCCCACAACATCCTCGCAGCTAAACTGAGGAAGTGCGGTCTGGAAGATCGGGTAGTGAGGTGGACTGTGAACTAGCTGAAGGAAAGAAGCCAGAGAGTTGTGGTTAATGGGACAGTCGAGTTGGAGGCCTGTATCTAGTGGAGTCCCTCAAGGGTCGGTACTGGGATCAGTGTTGTTTAATATATTCATCAGTGACTTGGATGAGGGAATGGAGTGTGCCATCAGCAAGTTTGCTGATGACAATAAAGTGGGAGGAGTCGCTGACATGCCGAAAGGCTGTGCTGCCATCCAGCGGGACCTCAACAGGTTGGAGAATTGGGCGGGGAGAAACTTAATGAAATATAATAAGGGCAAGTGTAGAGTCCTGCATCTGGGCAAGAACAACTCCAGGCACCGGTATAAGTTGGGGACTGCCCTGCTGGAAAGCAGTGAAGGGGAGAGGGACCTGGGGGTCCTGGTGGACAGCCGGATGACCATGAGCCAGCACTGTGCCCTTGTGGCCAAGAAGGCCAATGGCATCCCGGGGTGTATCAGAAGAGGTGTGTATTAGTAGGTCAGGGGAGGTTCTCCTCCCCCTCTACTCTGCCCTAGTGAGACCGCATCTGGAATATTGCGTCCAGTTCTGGGCCCCTCAGTTCAAGAAGGACAGGGAACTCCTTGAGAGAGTCCAGCTCAGAGCAACAAGGATGATTAAGGGAGTGGAACATCTCCCTTACAAGGAAAGGCTGAGGGAGCTGGGTCTCTTTAGCTTGGAGGAGACTGAGGGGTGACCTTATTAATGTTTATAAATATGTAAAGGGTGAGTGTCATGAGGATAGAGCCAGTCTCTTCTTGGTGACATCCAATGATAGGACAAGGGGCAATGGGTGTAAGCTGGAACATAGGAGGTTCCACTTAAATATGAGAAAAAAAAATTAAAATGAGGGTGGTAGAACACTGGAACAGGCTGACCAGGGGGGTTGTGGAGTCTCCTTCTCTGGAGACTTTCAAAACGTGCCTGGAAGTATTCCTGTGTGACATGATTTAGGTGTTCCTGCACCAGCAGGGGGATTGGACTAGATGATCACAGAATCACAGAATTGTCTAGGTTGGAAGAGACCTCAAGATCATCGAGTCCAACCTCTGACCTAACACTAACAAGTCCTCCACTAAACCATATTAATAAGTTCAACGATGATCTTTCAAGATCCCTTCCAATCCCTAACATTCTGTGGTTCTGTGATTCTGCGATCCAGGTCTGGGGCCCCCAGCACAAGAAGGACATAGACATATTACAGTGAGTCCAGAGGAGGGCCACAAAGATGATCAAAGGGCTGTAGCCCTAATTTCTATGAAGAAAGCCTATTTCTATGAAGAAAGGCTGAGAGAGCTGGGGATGTTCAGCCTGAAGAAGAGAAGGCTCCAAGGAGACCTCATTGCAGCTTTTCCATACCTAAAGGGGGTTTTAAAAAGGTGGAGAGTGATTCTTTTCTCAGTCAGATAATGACAGGACAAGGAGGAATGGTTTTAAATTAAAAGGGGGGAGATTTAGCTTAGAGGTTAGGAGGAAGCTCTTCACTCAGAGGGTGGTGAGGCACTGGAACAGGTTGCCCAGAGAGGTTGTGGATGCCCATCCCTGGAAGTGTTTAGAATCATAGAATCATAGAATATCCTGAGTTGGAAGGGACCCTTAAGGATCATCAAGTCCAACTCTTGACACCGCACAGGTCTACCCAAAAGTTCAGACCATGTGACTAAGTGCACAGTCCAATCTCTTCTTAAATTCAGACAGGCTCGGTGGAGTGACCACTTCCCTGGGGAGCCTGTTTTTTGTTTAAGGCCAGTTTGGATGGGGCTTTGAGCTGATCTAGTGGGAGGTGTCCCTGCCCATGGCAGGGGGGTTGGAACTAGATGATCTTTAAGGTCCCTTCCATCCCAAGCCATTCTATGATTCTATGACTATGTGATTCTTTGACAACCATGATGGATACCTGCCCATATACTCCCACATACCTTGCCACCCATAACTATCCTGCCTTTGGGCAGATCTCTGGGTGGTATTCTTAAATAGCTGTTTAACCTTAGACAAAATTCTTCACATTCAACTGTGATACAAATTGTTAGAAGTTAATGACCACCTGAGGGCTGAAATGACCTAAGGCTTTGGTAGAACTCTGTGTCATGCGATGTCTATATGAGAATAACTTCAATGAACTTGAACAGCTATACCAATACAGTACTCAGAATGAAGTGATCTAAGAAAGCCATTTCCTAGTTTAGCTGTGGAAGCAGGTGAGAAGGGAAGGGAAGAGAAGAGAAGAGAAATAAAAATGGCATTCATCCTACAATAAGTGTAAAAAATGGTAAATTATATTAGGTTAATGAATATTCAGGCTCATTTTTATTAGTGTAAACTTCCTTGTATAGAAGAATCCTACTTAGATATACATTCCCTGTCTTAATTAAATATGCTTTATCATCAATTAATGTTTATAAATCAATTCTAAATAAAGACCACAAGTAGCACTGTTGCTGTCTATTTGGCATCTTTATTATTGAGATGATTATTTTACAGTCCCATTTGGGACTGAAAATAGGTATTTGCAATAAATTTCATTTCAGTAATATTTTATTGATGGTATTCTTGGAAAACCAAAGTCCTCGTTAGAATACATGAGAAAAAGAACGCACTTTTTCCCAGGAATCATTGTAAACATTCACAAACTACACAAAGTAACAAACCCAAATGATACAAAATCTTTTCATCAGATTAAGCATCTCTTCAGTTTGTAACTTCAAATAAGAAATATTCTCTGAAAATCACTACTACTTATTTTGCATGTGTTATCAGCCTTTGGGGAAACCAACTTGGAAACAGAGGCTGTTGAGTGAAAAAAAAAGTTTGCTCTCAGATAAAGGTAAAGAGACATGAGACATTTCACTAGTAACAGCATATGAAGTCCTAAAAATTGGTGCCCACTTTCACAGAGCTAGGAAAACTGCCATTCTATCTGCTAGCCACTGAATCATCAAAGATAATACAGAAAAGCTCCACTGGCAACTGACGGAAGCCATTGCTTCTGGAATCAGACAACTCTGAACTCTGATAGAAAGAGAAAAGATGGATGAATTACAGGAATAGAGATAAAAGCAGACTTCTGTTCTCATGAGATAAAGTGCATATAGATGTGAAAAAGATTTTTTAAAGTTTCTTCAGAAACAATAAAGGCCAAGAATAAAGATATTGAAATTGCTACTAACCAAGGCAACACAAAAAACGAAGTTCTCAGGGCTGCTAAAAAGGGCCAGGAAAACTGACCTACTTTACGAAGTCCTGAGCAGCTGATACTAGATTTATCCAAATGTGATTATGTTCACAGATCCCTAAGCCTTACAAGACCTAGGAAGATTTGGAAGAGGAAATAAAATAGAAGTACAACAGCAAGCAGAAGCAGGTTAGTTTGCTGTGTTAATGAGTGCCTCCACTGAGGAAGCATAGCCACTCTAATGAAGTATAAGCCATATCATGTAGATACATTCCTAGGAAAGAAGAATCACAAGGATTGATTCAACAGTCAGCCCTAAGGCACAGAGTTCTGTACTCAACCTTTTTTTTTAAGCCTGAAATACATTTTGTCTTTCTTTTCCTTTATTATGCCCGCTTCCTTCCTGAGTAATTCTAAATCAGGGAGTATGAAAGCTAAAGAAAAAGCAAGAGGACTTAGTTAAAATCTCAGTCTACCTAGAAGAAAATCTGTCAGTTTATTATGAGAGCAAAATTTGTATTTATTTTGAAATGCTATGTCACCGCTTTCTTGTTTCAATCAATAAAATTACCAGATTAACAGGTAAAATTATGCACATTTGCTAAATCTGGAACCTAGAGAAAAATACAGAAAAGTTCTAAAATTCACATCCCCTTAGTATGCTAAAAATATATTAATGTCATCAAAGCACCTAAATCTTTGGAATTTTCTCTGTCTGAAAGTACTTCTTAGGCACTCATCACACATGACAAGACAGAAGAAACAAACCTCATGGAATTTGTACAGTTGATTCATCCAGCATTTCTCCAATCAAAACACAGCACCTGAATGAAGGCAAAACTAACCTCCCAAAGACTGTTTAGATCATGCTTGGTGTACAAGGGATAGTTCCAACATGGACTGATTGTTCAGCTAATTTCCTTTATGCTATTTTTTTAACAAACTAAAATTATATTAAGTCTATATTATAAACTACACTAAACTAAAACTATGCATATTAAGGCACATGGATATTACACTTTTAAAATTCGTAAGTCTATTAACACTGATAGTGAATTATATTTCTTAATATATAAGCTGATGTTAAAAAAATATATTTCTAAGGTAATAAATTGTCAAAGCTCATTTTACAACAAGAGGGATATTTAAAATAGAAAACTGCAATATACTATAACCAAACTGCTTTAGGGTAATCCTTCCCTTTTTTTTTCATGGAAGTTTATATGAAATAATAAAGTACTTTGAAAACTGAAGCTAACAAAAAGATTTCACTTTAACATTTAACTTCCGTATTTTAAAATATTTCATTGCAGATGTTGCAAAAGCCAAATTATCAGGCATGTTTCAGGTTTGAATAGGCACTTTGCTTTTTCTTTAAAAAAGTACTTACACATCCACAAATAGTACATAATCGTTTGAATAGGCACTTTGCTTTTTCTTTAAAAAAGTACTTACACATCCACAAATAGTACATAATCTTTACTGTCTTCTGGAATTCTACAGGAATGTCTACAGAAAAGTCCTGGTAGAAACATGGACCCACTGGAAAATTCTCAGGAAGAGGTGGCCAGTTATTTTTTCTACCTGCAAATCATATAAAAAAACAGCAACAAACAAAACCCCACCAGCTTTATAATACAGTTTTAACATCTGTATACTAGAAAGATATATGCATCTGGGCTTGTTCAAATTGTTTTATGTACATAAGTTTCACAAGCATATGGATAACTTGGGCTACCAAAACCCAAGAGTTTTATCAGCAATACTCACACAAACTTCAGAAATAAAATATGATGAAATGCAGACAGATCAAGGAAAGTACAATATTTTATCTATATAAAAGACTAAGCAGGCATCTGATGGTTCCTATAAAGTAATAAGAAAAGAGTTTTGACAAAACAGTGAGATTTGAGCAGAAAATCAATTTCTCAGAGTTCCTTGACTTTTAAATACACATTTCCCACCATACTCATATTCTCACTTTGTGGAACACAAAAACTGGGGATTTCAAGGCATTCTCCATCCTCAGAATCCTGATATTTGTAACACCTGGATATCTCTAACTCTTTGAACTAGTTCCCAATATAGTTTACAGTCAAAGCTTTGCTTAAAAGCCTGTAAGCCTAAAGAAAGGTAATTATTAAAATGGTCTCAACTACAATACGAGAAGATGCTCTACAGCATCAATATATTTTGGTATAAATTGTGGGACAGAGTGAGAACACAACAAAAGACAGAAGAGTATTAGACACCAAAGATTTCCTGTATGCTGATCTACTCACAGGCTAGAGTATACATTCTGATGAATGCAAGCCATATCAAGTACAGATTCAGAGATTCAGATGAGATAACTACAACAAACCTATATCATAGCATTTAAAATGCTGGATGCAATAGATATGTTTACCACCATATTGCAAAAGTGGAGCTGACTAGAGACTAACATAAAGGCAAAATTATTTGAAATTCTGATAAGTGTTTGCTTGCAATTTCTATCTTCAAACATAGCTTTACTAGCAGTTCACCTGTTAAGAAAACTTGCAAACCTTACATACTTGCATTATTTAATTATTTCTTTACCCAGACAAAATGAAGCTGACAGTTCTGACCAAACAGGTCCAAAACACTGAGTATTTGTTGAGTTTTATGCCTCTTCAACTGAACATTTTTACCAGTTCTTTCAGAGCTGTGGGTTTAGAGGGAGCATACAAAAGGTAATCAAGTGATATGCCCATTCATATTAAAAAGTACTTTTCATTTTCTTATATGAAAAATATCTGATAACAATTCAGATCTTTGTTCTACGGTATACAGTTATTTTTCTCAGGGTTGCAAGTTTCAAGATAGTCACAGAAAAATTCAGATATAGTAATTCAGGTTATTATTTGAGAGTAGTATTTGATGTGCTTTTCTACCTTGGTGGAACAGGTTTCAAAATTTTCAACTAAAACTGAAAGACAGTCTTAGTATTTTTCAGACATGCCTAAATGAACTAGCTGAAATAGGAAGCAGCACACTTTAATCAGCTCAAGTGCACTACTTCACAGGACCTGAACAGAGAGAACCAAAGGCATTGAGCTGAGAAGACCCACAAGCTTTGAGATCTTTCCAGTGTGGTCAGTTGCATACAATGACAGTGTCCTAGGTGTGCAGCCAGCATCATAACTTGAATGCAAATAACTAGAGTATTATTGCAAAAGACCTTGCCCTGTGATCAATATGCTTCTACAGTGTTTTGAAAGGAGTTTAAATGACTGTGCAAAAGAAAAAAAAATCAAAAGGAAAAAAATGTTGTTCTCCTCAGTCACAACATACAATTCCTGATTTGCAGCATCTTTTACACAGTTATTTGGTAAAAACCTAACACCCTCTTTAAAGCTTTAAGAGCTCTCTCTTCTTTGTTCAGCCTTCCTAAAGAATCCTTTAGATTCTTCATGCACTCTTCAAGTCCTTTGATGTGAACAACTGAAACTTAATAACAGAGCAAATACCATTTAAAAATATTCTGAAACATGTATTGGGTATCAGAGTTATAGTCCCTAAGATACAGATGAAAGTAATTAAACTGTCAGTAAAGCCTGGAAGAGACAAGTCATCAATCCAGACCATCAATATAAATTAGTGAAATTAGGTGAAGGGCGATATATGGAGAAGGAAATTAAAAAAATCACCAGAAAAGCATAATCTTGGAGAATAGGTACAGAGATTTAATAAAGAGACTGGAAAAAATAATACAGAGAAAAATAAAAATGGTTTAATGAAGGGACCATGATTCTTTTCCTTAGAAGAATACCAATTCCTCACTCCCAAATCCCCTACCATATGACTGGTAGAAAATTCCATGAGGTTTTTGAATCACTAAACAGTTATGCAATCTGGAATTGTACCTCTGTATGTTCCAATATTTCAGAACAGGAAAGTTCTTCTGCAGCAATACTGACAGCAGATAAATCAGAGATGTTATTTATGAAGTTACATTTAATTCTTCCCAAAATGCTCCATTTCAATTCAATAGTATTACTTGGATATTAACCCAGAAAAAAATTAGCTGATAGTAGAGTACAATATGTAATAATGCCACATTTAAATATTTTTGCTGTGAAAATTTGTACAGGACAGTTTTTATTCACTTTATGCACTGTTCTAAAGGAGATACATTTTTCTCTTCCTGAAGAGATTATAAAAAACCCTCTTTGATCTGCTTTACAATGTCACTGTAAAACTAAAATAGTTTCTGAGAAAATGTGAAATTTCTGCAGTTTTAAAAAGTACTTTTTTCATGCATACCCCTCTGCTGATTGAGACCCTGCATTTCCCTTTCTCTGCGATCTAGTTCAGCTGCTTTTCTTTCCAGTTCTTCTTGACGCTTTAACAGTTCTGCCTGGGCCAAAGCATGCTCCTGAACAAAACAAGCATTGTTAGATATTGATAAAAAATACAAACACAAGATAAATATTCCAAGTCTATTTTCTATAATTAAGCATCTCCATTTATGGATGAAGACCGACCTACTGTTGCATAAATTCATGAAATAAGTGATTTCTAAAAGGCAATATTAACTTTCATAAATCATTAGGAAAGCAACACTTATTTATAAAAGACTATTCAAGAAGTGTGTAATTACAATTAAAAGCATTATAGTGCCTGAAAGTTATACACAAACCTTTGCAATTTGTGCATAAGCAGGTGGTTCTTCCGCTGGTTTCATTATTGCTGTCTGAGTACTGGGTACATTAGGTATTTTCACATTTCCTGAAAGAGGCTAAGAAAACGAGACAATTATTGGGAAACAGTCTCCAATTCTAATAACCATATTTTCATTAAGTATATAAGAACTAATCCAGTTGTTTTGAAAAAAAAGTGTTACCGATAAACTGAAAATCTAATATGCTGCCTGCAATATTTACAACTGTCCTGGTTTCATTTAGGACAGAGTTAATTTTCTTCCTAGTAGCTGGTAGAATGCTATGTTTTGGCTTAGGATGAGAAGAGTGCTGATAACACGCCGATGTTTTAATTGTTGCAGAGGAGTGCTTACATCAAGCCAAGGACTTTTAAACTTCTCACTCTGTCCTGTGGATGCAGTCTACCTTGACTTCAGCAAGGCATTTGACACTGTCTCCCGTAACATCCTCATAGACCAGCTTAGGAAGTGTGGATGACTGGACGGTGAGGTGGATTTACAATTGGCTGGATGGCAGAGCTCAGAAGGTTGTGCTTAGTGGTGAGGAATCTAGTTGGAGGCTTGTAGCCAGCAGTGTCCCCCAGGGGTTGTACTGAGTCTGGCTGGGATGTTAACTTTCCCTGCAGCAGCCCATACAGTGCTGTGCTTGTCACACTTGTGGCTAGAACAGCAGTGGTATCACACCAGTGTTGTGTCTACTGCTGAGCAATGCTGGCACAACATCAGGACTCTCTAACCCTCCTAGGGGGTGGGCAAAAAAGTGAGAAGAGAAACATCACCAGGGCAGCTGACCTAAACCAACCAAAGGGATATTCCATGCCATATGATGTCACACTCAGCAATAAAAGCTGGAAAAAGGAATAAGAGGGGAGGGGTGGGCTCTTGTGAAAACGTCAGTCCTCCTCCCGAACACTGGCTACGTGCATTGAGGCTCTGCTTCAAGGACATGGTCAATCATCGCTCATTTGTGGGAAGTAGAGAGTAATTTCTTTCCTCTGCACTTCCACATAGCCTTTGTTTGTTTGTTTTCCCTTTTCCCCTTTCCCTTTTTTTTCCCTTTAGTTAAATTGTTTTGTTAATAATAATCTTCCCTTAATAATTTTTTTCCTTTAATTAAATTATCCTTATCTCAACCTGTGAGTTGTTCTTTACTTTACTTCTTCCCCTCCTCATCTAGGGAGGGGGAGTGAGAGAGTGGTTGTGGTGTTTAGCTGCCTAGCACGGTAAAACCACCACAGGGGTCAGTACTGGATCCAGTTCTGTTCAATTTATTCATCAATGACCTGGACGAAGTCCAGGTGCAAGAAAAAGTAGAGAGAAGAGTTTCTAAGAGAATCAGAGGTAGTAAGGAAATGGTAAGAAAAATAAGGTATCTGTCTGTCTCAACATCGCTTATTATTTTTTCATAGAATCATAGAATGGCTTACGTTGGAAGGGACCTTAAAGACCATGTAGTTCCAACCCCCCTGCCATATGCAGGGACACCTCCCACTAGATCAGGTTGGCCAAGGCCCCATCCATCTTGGCTTTGAAGACCTCCAGAGATGGGACATGCACAACATCTCTTGACAATCTGTTCCAGTGACTCACTACCCTCACAGTGAAGAATTTCTTCCTAATGTCTAATGTAAATCTCTTTTCATGTAAAGCCATTCCCCTTTGTCCTCTCACTATCTACACAAGTATAGAGTCCTTCTCCATCTTTTTTATAAGAATCCTTTAAGTACTGAAAGACCATGATGAGGTCTCCCCAGAGCCTTCTTTTCTGTACGCTGAACAGACTCTCTCACCCTTTCTTTGCAGGAGAGGTACTCCAGCCCCTTAATCATTTGACACCCCAAATGGGGGTGGACCCCCTCCCCTGTCGCTGTCAGGCAGAGGGAGGGGACCTAGGAGTTGAGGAGGAATGGAGACAGCTCAACATCACAGACAATGCCCCCCCGCTACCAGCCCCACCTTCCCAGGTGCCCTTACACAACAGGTTTGAGGCCCTGGAGCTTGAGAGACCAGTAGCTGAGGAAGAGGTAGAAAGTCTACCCAGGAGGATGCATAGGGCGAGGAAGTCGACTCCACGCCTCAGGACTACCTCCACCAAGAAAGAAAGAAGGGTGATTGTTGTGGGCGACTCCCTCCTCAGGGGAACAGAGGGCCCTATTTGTCAGCCTGACCCTACCCGTAGGGAAGTCTGCTGCCTCCCTGGGGCCAAGGTCAGGGACATTGCCAGAAAGCTTCCCAACCTGGTTCGCCCCTCTGACTATTATCCTCTGTTAATAGTCCAGGCTGGCAGTGATGACATTGAAGAAAGAAGCCTGAAGACCATCAAACGGGACTTAATGGGACTGGGACGGTTAGTGGATGGAGCAGGAGTACAGGTGGTGTTTTCGTCTATCCCTATGGTGGCAGGGAGGGGTACAGAGAGGACATGGAAAACTCACCTGATAAACACGTGGCTGGTGCCAACACAGAAATTTTGTGGTTTTTTTTGAAAATGGGATGCTTTACTCGGCACCCAGCCTGATGGACGCAGACGGGTCCCTATCTCTAAGGGGAACACAGATCCTAGCCCAGGAGCTGGCGGGGATCATTGAGAGGGCTTTAAACTAGGTATGAAGGGGGATGGGGCTGAAACAAGGCTTGTTAGAGCTGTGTGCCAGGGGGAGCAATGACAAGGCTGGGGGAGAAGGCAATGGCCCAACTGAAGTGCATCTACACTAATGCACGCAGCATGGGTAACAAACAGGAGGAGCTGGAAGCCATCGTCCGGCAGGCAGGCTATGACTTGGTTGCCATCACGGAAACGTGGTGGGACCACTCTCATGACTGGAGTGCTGCAGTGTCTGGCTATAGGCTCTTCAGAAGGGACAGGCAGCTTGTTCTTGTGGGGGACTTCAACTTCCCAGATATATCCTGGAAGCACAACACAGCCCAGAGAAAGCAGTCTAGGAGGTTTCTGGAGGGCATGGAAGATAGCATCCTGACGCAGCTGGTTAGTGAGCCTACCAGGGGAGGTGCCCTGCAAGACCTTCTCTTCACAAACAGAGAAGGATTGGTCGGAGATGTGGTGGTTGGAAGCTGTCTTGGGCAGAGTGACCATGAAATGGTAGAGTTCTCCATTCTTGGCGAAGCCAGGAAGGGGACCAGTAAAACCGCTATATTGGACTTCCGGAGGGCCGACTTTGAACTGTTCAGGACACTGGTTGGCAGAGTCCCTTGGGAGGCGGTTCTGAAGGACAGAGGAGTCCAGGAAGGCTGGGCGCTCTTCAAGAGGGAAATCTTAATGGCGCAGGAGCGGTCTGTCCCCACGTGCCCAAAGACGAGCCGGCGGTGAAGAAGACCGGCCTGGCTGAACAGAGAACTGTGGCTTGAGCTTAGGAGAAAAAAGAGGGTTTATAATCTTTGTAAAAGAGGGTGGGCCAATCGGGAGGACTATAAGGATCCTGCGAGGCAGTGCAGGGACAAAATTAGAAAGGCCAAAGCTCATCTGGAGCTCAATCTGGCTACTGCCGTTAAAGACAAGAAAAAATGTTTTTACAAATGCATCAACGCAAAATGGAGGACTAAGGAGAATCTCCATCCTTTACTGGATGCAGGGGGAAACCTAGTGTCAAAAGATGAGGAAAAGGTGGAGGTGCTTAATGCCTTCTTTGCCTCAGTCTTTAGCAGCAAAACCAGTTGTTCTCCTGATACCCAGTACCCTGAGCTGGTGGAAGGGGATGGGGAGCAGAATGTGGCCCTCACTATCCATGAGAAAATGGTTGGCAACCTGCTACAGCACTTGGATGCGCGCAAGTCGATGGGGCCAGATGGGATCCACCCGAGGATGCTGAGACAAATGGCGGAGGAGCTGTCCAAGCTGCTTTCTATCATTTATCAACAGTCCTGGCTATCGGGGGAGGTCCCAGTTGACTGGCGGCTAGCAAACGTGACGCCCATCTACAAGAAGGGCCGGAGGGCAGACCCGGGGAACTATAGGCCTGTCAGTTTGACCTCAGTGCCAGGGAAGCTCATGGAGCAGATTATCTTGAGTGTTGTCACATGGCACTTACAGGGCAACTAGGTGATCAGGCCCAGTCAGCATGGGTTTATGAAAGGCAGGTCCTGCTTGACGAACCTGATCTCCTTCTGTGACAAAGTGACACGCTTGGTGGATGAGGGAAAGGCTGTGGATGTGGTCTACCTTGAGCTGCCTGGCAGAGAAGGACCTGGGAGTATTGGTTGATAGTCGGCTGAATATGAGCCAGCAGTGTGCTCAGGTGGCCAAGAAGGCCAACAGCATCCTGGCTTGCATAAGAAGCAGTGTGACCAGCAGGGCTAGGGAAGTGATTGTCCCCCTGTACTCGGCTCTGTTGAGGCCGCACCTCAAGTACTGTGTTCACTTTTGGGCCCCTCGCTACAAGAAGGACATCTTGTGCTTGAGCGAGTCTAGAGAAGGGCGACGAAGCTGGTGAGAGGTCTGGAGAACAAGTCCTACGAGGAGCAGCTGAGGGAGCTGGGTTTGTTCAGCCTGGAGAAGAGAAGGCTCAGGGGCAACCTTATCGCTCTTTATAAGTACATTAAAGGAGGCTGTAGTGAGGTGGGGGTTGGTCTATTCTCCCATGTGCCTGGTGACAAGACAAGGGGGAACGGGCTAAAGTTGCGCCAGGGGTGTTTTAGGTTGGATATTAGGAAGAACTTCTTTACTGAGAGGGTTGTTAGGCATTGGAATGGGCTGCCCAGGGAAGTGGTGGAGTCACCATCCCTGGAGGTCTTTAAAAGACACTTAGATGTTGAACTTAGCGATATGGTTTAGTGGAGGATTTGTTAGTGTTAGTTCAGAGGTTGGACTCGATGATCTTGAGGTCTCTTCCAACCTAGACAATTCTGTGATTCTGTGATTCTGTGAAGTCATTTCTAGGCTACTCTCTATCATCTTTGGTAAGTCATGGGCATCGGGAGAGGTGCCTGAGGACTGGAGGCCTCCGGTCACTCTGGTTTTCAGAAAGGGCAAGAAAGAGGACCCAGGTAACTATAGACCGGTCAGCCTCTCCTCCATCCCTGCTAAGGTGATGAAGCAATTTATCCTTGGCGTTGTCTCCAGTCATATCAAAGATAAAAGGGTCATTAGGGGCAGTCAACATGGCTTCACCAAGGGGAAGTCATACTTGACCAACCTGATAGCCTTTTATGAGGATATAACTGAGTGGATAGATGATGGAAAGGCGGTGGATGTGGTCTATCTTGATTTCAGTAAAGCCTTTGACACCGTCTCCCACAACATCCTCGCAGCTAAACTGAGGAAGTGCGGTCTGGAAGATCGGGTAGTGAGGTGGACTGTGAACTAGCTGAAGGAAAGAAGCCAGAGAGTTGTGGTTAATGGGACAGTCGAGTTGGAGGCCTGTATCTAGTGGAGTCCCTCAAGGGTCGGTACTGGGATCAGTGTTGTTTAATATATTCATCAGTGACTTGGATGAGGGAATGGAGTGTGCCATCAGCAAGTTTGCTGATGACAATAAAGTGGGAGGAGTCGCTGACATGCCGAAAGGCTGTGCTGCCATCCAGCGGGACCTCAACAGGTTGGAGAATTGGGCGGGGAGAAACTTAATGAAATATAATAAGGGCAAGTGTAGAGTCCTGCATCTGGGCAAGAACAACTCCAGGCACCGGTATAAGTTGGGGACTGCCCTGCTGGAAAGCAGTGAAGGGGAGAGGGACCTGGGGGTCCTGGTGGACAGCCGGATGACCATGAGCCAGCACTGTGCCCTTGTGGCCAAGAAGGCCAATGGCATCCCGGGGTGTATCAGAAGAGGTGTGTATTAGTAGGTCAGGGGAGGTTCTCCTCCCCCTCTACTCTGCCCTAGTGAGACCGCATCTGGAATATTGCGTCCAGTTCTGGGCCCCTCAGTTCAAGAAGGACAGGGAACTCCTTGAGAGAGTCCAGCTCAGAGCAACAAGGATGATTAAGGGAGTGGAACATCTCCCTTACAAGGAAAGGCTGAGGGAGCTGGGTCTCTTTAGCTTGGAGGAGACTGAGGGGTGACCTTATTAATGTTTATAAATATGTAAAGGGTGAGTGTCATGAGGATAGAGCCAGGCCTATTCTCCCACATGCCTGGTGAGAGGATGAGGGGGAATGGGCTAAAGTTGCGCCACGGGAGTTTTAGGTTGGATATTAGGAAGAACTTCTTTACCGAAAGGGTTGTTAGGCATTGGAATGGGCTGCCCAGGGAAGTGGTATAGTCACCATCCCTGGAGGTCTTCAAAAGACGTTTAGATGTTGAACTTAGTGATATGGTTTAGTGGAGGACTTGTTAGTGTTAGGTCAGAGGTTGGACTCAATGATCTTGAAGTCTCTTCCAACCTAGACAATTCTGTGATTCTATGATTCTGTAATCTTTGTGCCTCTCCTCTGGACTCACTCGAAGAGGTCCACATCTTTCTTGTTCTGGGGTCCCCAAACCTGGGTGCAGTACTCCACGTGGGGCTTCACAAGGGCAGAGTAGAGGGGGACAATCACCTCTCTCTCCTTGCTAGCCACTTTTCTTGTGATGGAGACCAGGATGCACTTCGCCTTCTGGGCTGAAAGTTCACACTGCTGGCTCATGTCGACCTTTTTGTCCACCAGAACCCCCAAGTCCTTCTCTGCAGGGCTGCTTTCAATGAGTTCTTCACCCAGTCTGTACTCTTTTCTGGGATTGCCCCAACCCAGGTGTAGCACCCTGCACTTGGACTTGTTGAACCTCATTCGGTTCACATGGGCCCACTTCTCTACTCTGTCCACGTCCCTTTGAGTGGCAACTCTTCCTTCTTTGGTATTAACTGTACCACTCAGCTTAGTGTCACTTACAAACTTGCTGAGGGTGCACTCAGTCCTATTGTCTATGTCACTGATGATATTGAAAAGCACTGGTCCCAAGACAGACCCCTGAGGGACACTGCTCATCACAGTCCTTCTTTTGGACATAGAGCCCTTGACCACCACTCCCTGGGTGTGGCCATTCCAAAGCCATATCTTTCCAATTTAGAGATTAGGATGTCGTGTTTGACCGTGTAAAAAGCCTTACAGAAGTCCAAGTAGATGACATTGGTCAGTCTTCCCTTGTCAACTGATGCAGTCATTCCATCATAGAAGGCCGCCAGATTGATCAGGCATGATTTGCCCTTGGTAACGCCATGTTGGTGTCCTGGATCATATCTTTGTCCTTCATGTGCATTCACATTGCCTCCAGGAGGATCTTTTCCATGATGTTCCCAGGCACAGAGGTGAGGCTCACTGGTCCCCAGGTCCTCCTTTCTACCCTTTTAAAAAATGGGAGCAATGTTTCCCTTTTTCCAATCACCAGGGACTTCTCCTGACTGCCATGATTTTTCATATATGATGGAGAGAGGCTTGGCAACTACATCAGTCAATTACCTCAGGACCCTGGGATGCATGTCATCAGAGCCCATAGACTTACACCTGTTTAGTTTAGGTGGTCTTGAACCTGCTCTTCACTTACAGTGGGTGGGACTTTGCTCCCCCAGCCTCCATCTATGGGTTCAAGGAAATGCAATACAGCCCAGAGGAAGCAGTCTAGGAGGTTCCTGGAATGCGTGTGTGAGAAAGTAAGTTGTGTTTTTGCTGTAGAGAACTAATTTTCTGTATTCAAAGGTAGCTGTGTAGTCATAACAAGGAGAAATGCTAAGTAGTTAAATGGACAGTAGAAGGCCTCACTGTTCCAAAATAAGGTAGAAGCTTGAGAAAAACAGGATGAGCAGTGTGAGAACAGTAAAACAAAGATCACAAGTTCTGAAAACACAAGAAAGGAGAAAAAAAAAGTTGTAGTTGTTAAGTTGCGTCAGGAGGTCCCAAACTTGCTCTTCACTTACAGTGGGAGGGACTATGCTCCCCCAGCCCCTGCCTAGAGGTTCAAGGACTTGAGAGATGTGGGAAGCCTGAAGATTAGTGAAGACCAAAGCAAAGAAGTTTTTAAGTACCTCTGCCTTCTCCACATCTGTTGTTACCAGTTCTCTGTCTTCATTTGTCAGACACGGTACGCTCTCCTTAGTCTTTCTTTTGTGGACAATGTACCTGTAGAACCCCTTCTTGTTATTCTTTGCATCCCCCGCCAAGTTTACTTCTGTCAGTTCCTTGGCTTTCCTGATCCCATCAGTGCACATCCAGACAGCATTTCTGTATTCTTCTCACGTATAAATGTTTGTTGATTATCACTCTAGGATTTCTGCTATATTAAGAATGAAATCCCAATAGACGTTGTATTCCTGCCATTGTCCTCACAGGATAGAGACAGTTATTGTAATATAGTAGCATTTCTTTATTAAGCACTGAAAGAACCATGCATGTTTTTGTACACTACTGTGTTTTCATAATGACTTACCTTCATAGTGTGTATACTGGGGAATGAAGTATAAGTTTTCCAATCCGTCCTTAATGGTGGGAGTTGAATATTGTTTTAATGTGTTTATTTTTCCAGGCTGTTACTCAAAGATCATAATTCCATGTACAACAGCCACAAGTATTATAAACTACCTCCTATAGATTAAGAACAGCAGAGAAGGCAGCAGCAGCAGCAGTTGGTTGCTGGGTGCTGAGAAGAGTGTGAGGCTCCTGAGGTCCCAGGGGGTGTCTGACAGGGTTTCTGAGCCACGACACTCTCGGGTTCTGTGTGCTCTGTGTGTGGAGGCACTGGAAAACAGGCAACCAGTCTTGCGAAAAGTCCGGGAAAGAAGTGGGTGAAGCTGGATGGTCACATGGCCAGTTCAATCTGTGGAAAGTATGTCATGGTTTAACCCAGAAGGCAGCTAAGCACCATGCAGCCATTCACTCACTCCCCCCACTGCGGGATGAGGGACAGAATCAAAAAAAAAAAAAAAAAGGTTAAAAACTCATGTGTTGAGATAAAGACAGTTTAATAGCATAGAAAATGAAGGGAAAATAATAATCATCATGATAAAAGAAAATACATCATACAAAACAAGTGATGTACAATACAATTGCTGACCACATGCTGACCAATGCCCAGTCATACCCTGAACAGCACTCTCCCCCCTAGCCAACTCTCCTCCTTTTTATTGTTCAGCATGATGTCATATGGTATGTAATATCCTTTTGGCCAGTTTGGGTCAGCTGTCCTGATTCTGTCCCCTCCCAGCTTCTTGTGCACTCAGTCTCCTTGCTGAGAGGGAGAAAAACTGAAAAGTCCTCGACTCAGTGTAGCACACCTTAGCAACAATGAAAACATCACTGTGTTATCAGCATTCTTCTCATCCTAAATCCAAAACACAGCACCACACCAGCTACTAGGAAGAAAATTAACTCTGTCCCAGCTGAAACCAGGACAATATCCACCCCTTATACCATACCCTCTACATCATGCTCAGGTCCCATGCTTTCCAATACATGCCAATTAATATCCACCACCTTTCCTGTCTTTGATATATAAACACAGATACCATTCCCTTAGTCTATGGGCCATCCCTCTAAAAAGTCTGTTGAGTTTATTTAGTATATGACTTTGGGTTACATATGTCATCGCAGTCCTTCAGGGCAGGAGAGATTGTGTGTGGTGTTGGATTGTTGCATGCTGAAGCCAGCTACAGTTCCATCACCACTGCACTTGCCCGGTTCTGTCAAAATTCATTTTTTATTAATCTGGGTCATTCTTACAGTAATACCATTTATATGGCAATATATAGCAACAGTAGTAGTGATAACATACAGTATTCTATAGCAATTACATGATAAAACTCAAATCACAGACAATTCCCACCAAAAATCAAATCTCCTTGAGGTACACATTGGACTTTCCTTTCCTTCCGCTTTACCCACTAAATGTACTAAAGTCCTTGAGCTAAAGCAATCCCATGGATGGATTTGCCTTTGTCTGAGGCAGTAATAACCCAAACTGTCTTCCCCAGCATGTTCTTTCTGTGTACTACAGGATCTTAATCCCTTTCTATAGTAGGTAAAAGATTTGATTGGGCAGGACTAGTTTGGTTGACAGATCCCCTAGCATTGACTAACCAGGTGGCCTTTGCCAAATGTGTATCCCAATGTTTGAATGTCCCAACACACACTCCTTCAGTGTAGTCTTTAACAGTCCATTATATTGCTTGATTTTCCCACAGGCTGGTGCATGATAGGGGATGTGATATACACACTCAATACCATGTTCTTTGGCCCAAGTGTCTGTAAGTTTTTTTCAGAAATGGGTCCCATTTGTCTGATTCAATTCTTTCTGCGGTGCCCTGTCGACATAAGACTTGCTTTTCAAGGCCCAGGATAGTGTTCCGGGCGGTGACATGGGGCACAGGATATGTTTCCAGCCATCTGGTGGTTGCTTCCACCATTGGAAGTACGTGGCACTTGCCATTGCGGGTTTGAGAGAGTGTGAGTATACTCAATCTGCCAAGCCTCCCCATATTTATATTTCAGCCATTGTCCACCGTACCAGAGAGGCTTCAGACTTTGAACTGTTCAGAACACTGGTAGGGAGGGTCCCTTGGGAGTCAGTCCTGAAGGGCAGGAAGCCTGTACGCTCTTCACGAAGGAAGACTTAAAATTGCGGGAGCAGGCTGTCCCTGTGTCCCGTAAAATGAGCCAATGAAACAGGACTACTGAGGAAAAGGCTGAGATTTTAATGCCTTCTTTATATCTGTCTTTACTAGCCAGACCAGTGTCATGGTTTAACCTGGCCGGCAGCTAAACACCACACAGCCATTCACTCACCCTCCCCCCTCCCTCTCTGGGATGGGGGAGAGAAATGGGAAAGTGAAGCCCGTGAGTTGAGATAAAGACAGTTTATTAAGACAGGAAAATAATAATAATAATTATTATTATTACTATTATTATTATAGTACTATTAATAATAATGTGTACAAAACAAGCGATCCAGAATACAATTGCTCACCACCCGCTGACCGATGCCCAGCCTAACCCTGAGCAGTCTGGCCCCCCTCCCCCGGCTAGCCACCCCTATATATTGTTTAGCATGATGTCAGATGGTATGGAATACCCCATTGGCCAGTTTGGGTCAACTGTCCTGGGTCTGTCCCCTCCCAGCTCTTTCTGCACCCCCAGCCTGCCCATTGGCAGGACAGAGCAAGAAGCTGAGACGTTCTTGGCTTCGTGTAAGCACTGCTCTGCAACAATTAAAACATCGGCGTGTTATCAGCACTCTTCTCATCCTAAGCCAAAACATAGCATTCTACCAGCTACTAGGAAGAAAATTAACTCTGTCCTAACTGAAACTACGACAACCAGTTATCCACGGGGTACTCAGCCTCCTGAACTGTAAGTCTGGGACAGGGAGCAGAAGAACGACCCCACCCCCCACCCCCTCGCAGCCATCGTCCTCCATACCAAAGAGGCTTTAACCACTTGGCTTGCTTGTTTGTAGCACATGTTTCACAGTCATGAATAACCTGTGCTATGGCATCCATGGTAAGGTCCACCCCTCGATCACGCGCCCATCTTTATGTTGCATCCCTGTCTTGATGGCCTGAGGTGTCATGGGCCCATCGAGCTACAGATAATTCACCTTTATATTGCCAGTGCAGGTCCACCTGAGCTACTTCAATCTTAGCAGCCTGATCCACCTGCTGGTTGTTTTGATGTTCTTCAGTAGCCCGATTCTTGGGCACATGAGCATCTACGTGGCGTACTTTCACAGCCAGGTTCTCTACCCGAGCAGCAATATCTTGCCACAATGCAGCAGCCCAGATGGGTTTGCCCCTACGCTGCCAGTTGTTTTGCTTCCATTGCTGTAACCATCCTCACAGGGCATTTGCTACCATCCATGAATCGGTGTAGAGATAGAGAACTGGCCATTTTTCTCGTTCAGCAATGTCTAAAGCCAGCTGAATGGCCTTCACTTCTGCAAACTGACTCGATTCACCTTCTCCCTCAGCAGCTTCTGCAACTCGTCGCGTAGGACTCCATACAGCAGCCTTCCATCTCCGATGCTTCCCCACAATACGACAGGACCCATCAGTGAACAGGGCATAATGCTTCTCATTTTCTGGTAGCTTGTTGTGCAGTGGAGCTTCTTCAGCATGACCCACCTCCTCCTCTGATGATATCCCAAAATATTTGCCTTCTGGCCAGTCCATAATCACTTCCAAGATTCTTGGGTGACTGGGGTTTCCTATTTGAGCCCGCTGAGTAATCAGTGCAACCCACTTGCTCCACGTAGCAACAGTTGCATGATGTGTAGAGGGGACCCTTCCTTTGAACATCCAGCCTAGTACTGGCAGTCGGGGTGCCAGGAGAAGCTGTGCTTCAGTACCGACCGCTTCCGAAGCAGATCGAACTCCTTCATATGCTGCCAATATCTCTTTTTCAGTTGGAGTATAGCGGGCCTCGGATCCTCTGTATCCCCGACTCCAAAACCCCAGGGGCCGACCTCGAGTTTCCCCAGGTTCTTTCTGCCAGAGGCTCCAGGTGGGGCCATTCTCCCCGGCTGCGGTGTAGAGAACATTATTTACATCTGGTCCTGTTCGGACTGGCCCAAGGGCTACTGCATGAACTATCTCCCCTTTAATTTGTTCAAAATCTTATCGTTCCTCGGGTCTCCATTCGAAATCATTCTTCTTACAGGTTACTTGGTAGAGCCAGCTTAAAATCAGACTGTAATTTGCAATGTGCATTCTCCAGAACCCCATGGAACTTAAGAAAGTTTGTGTTTCCTTTTTTGCTAGTTGGTGGAGACATAGCTGTTATTTTGTTGATCACATCCATTCGGATTTGATGACATCCATCTTGCCATTTTATTCATAAAAACCGGATCTCCTGTGAAAGTCCTTTGACCATATCTTAATTTAATGGCAAAACCAGCCTTCAAAAGGATTTAGGCTATTTTCTTCCCTTTCACAAAAACTTTCTCTGCTGTGTCACCCCACACTACAATGTCACTGATATACTGCAGGTGTTCAGGAGTGTCCTCTCTGTTCCAGCGCAGACTGGATCAGTCCATGGCAAATGGTAGGGCTGTTTTTCCACCCCTGGGGCAGTTGATTCCCAGTGTACTGGACACTCCTCCAAGTAAAAGCAAACTGGTCTGCACTCTGCTGCTAAAGAGATGTATAAAAATCCATTAGCAATATCAGTTGTGGCGTACCACTTGGCTGCTTTCGATTCCAGTTCATAGTGGAGTTCTAGCATGTCCAGCATGGCAGTACTCAACAGTGGCATGACTTCGTTCAGGCCACGATAGTGAACTGTTAGTCTCCACTCACCCTTAAACTTTCGCACTGGCCATATGGGACTATTAAAAGGCGGATGAGTCTTGCTGATCACTCCTCGGATCTCCAATTGACAAATTAGCTTATGGATGGGAATCAGGGAGTCTCGGTTGGTGTAGTATTTTCATCGGTGCACAGTTGCTGTAGCGATTGGCACTTGCTGTTCTTCGACCCTCAGCAACCCCACAACAGAAGGGTCCTCTGAGAGACCAGGCAAGGTAGATAATTGTTTAATGCCCTCTGTCTCTAAGGAAGCTACATGTATGCCAAAAGCCCACCAGAACCCTTTTGCGTCCTTGAAATATCCTCTTCTAAGAAAGTCTATGCCAAGGATACATGGAGCATCCGGGCCAGTCACAATGCGGTGCTTTTCCCACTCATTCCCAGTCAGACTCACTTCAGCCTCCAATACAGTCAACTGCTGAGATCCCCCTGTCACTCCACAAATACAGATGGGCTCTGGCCCTTTATAGCTCGATGGCATTACAGTACATTGTGCACTGGTGTCTACTAAAGCCTTATACTTCTGTGCGTCTGACGTGCCAGGCCATCGAATCCACAGAGTCCAGTAAACTCGATTGTCCCTTTCCTCCCCCTGGCTGGAGGCAGGGCCCCCCTAATCCTGGTCAGAATCTTCTTCGTTTCTGTGTTTGAAGGACTGTCTGCTGGAAGTTGGAGCAGCAAACTTTTCAGAGAATCCCTTTTTCCCAATTGTTTTCTTTTGCAACTCATGTGCAAAAAAAAAAAAACTCACGTGCCTCTAGGGTCACGGTAGATTTTCCATCCCATTTTCTCATGTCCTCTCCATGGTCTCGTAAGTAAAACCACAGGGTGGCACGGGGTGTGTACCCACTATATCGTCTTCCTTGACCAGAAGGACACTTAATCCTAATAGCTGAGAGACTGGTTCGTAAAGGTGGGGAGGAAGATAAATTTTCTCTAAGTTGGTTTGAAATTTCAGAAAGTTTCTCCAAAGTATTTTCTTTTAGTTGTTGTAACTCTTGAACGAGATTTTCCACAACCAAGACGCAGGTCTGTAGTGAAAAGGAGAGACTTTCTTCGTACTGCTGGAGTTGTTTAGCCAGTTCATCCGCTGTGGGTTCCTCATGGTCTTTCGAGTCCATTACTGCCAATGAGCTGGCATATGATGACGGTTCACTCCATACAAGCATCCACCACATGGGTCATGTACACTTGACTTCATTCGGATCTTTAGATAGCTGTTTGTTGTCTAGGTCATCATAAATCACCTCCAACATGGCTAATTCCCTCAAGTACTGGATTCCCTTCTCCATGGTGGTCCATTTTCCTGATGACATCCAAGATCTTCCTTGAAGGGATACCTTTCCTTCACGTCTGACAGGAAACGCCTCCAGAGGGTGAAGATTTGTGCTCCATTTCCAATTGCTTTGTCAATGTCTGTGTCCCTAGAAAGGGATCCCAAATGCCTGGCTTCCCTGCCCTCTAATTCTAGACTATTCACTTCGGTATCCCAGCACCGGAGCAGTCAGGTGAAAGGTGCTCACCTGGACAACAACCAAAATCCTTTTGTATAACTCATAGCTCACACTGGGATAGGCCTCAAATAGTTATTGATGATCTTATGATATCTTCCTCTTCTCGTTTCTGTTATTGCCCAGCCCCTGCAGAATAGCCTATCTCATCATCTTTTTCTTCCCCAGTCTGAGTAGGAGTTCTTTTTCTTTCTAAACGACCTGACTTCCTCATCCATTGTTTCATCTTGGTTACAGGGGCAACTTGCACTGCTAAAGTCTACTTCCCTGACCCAGCCGAAAGGCCTGTCACAGGGGTTGGAACAGCCGCAGGGCCCCTCACAGGGGTTGGAACGACCGATGGGCCCGACACAAGGGTTGGAGTGACTGCAGTGGCTGGAGTGGTGTATTGGGTCTGGCTGGAATGTTAACTTTCCCAGCAGCAGCCCATACAGTGCCGTACTCTGCAGTTGTAGCTGGAACAGCAGTGTTATCACACCAGTGTTGTGTCTGCTGCTGAGCAGCAGTGGCACAGTATTAGGCCTTTCTCTAACCCTCTTAGGGGGTGGGCAAAAGGTGAGGAGAGAAACATCACTAGGGCAGCTGGCCTAAACCAATCAAAGGGATATTCCATACCATGTGATGTCACACTCAGCAATAAAAGGTGGAAACAGGAAGAAGAGGGGAGGGGTGGGCTCTCGTTTGGAAGACGTCGGTCCTCCTCTCGAACACCGGCTGCGTGCGTTGAGGCCTTGCTTCAAGGACGTGGTCAATCATCGCTCATTTGTGGGAAGTAGAGAGTAATTTCTTTCCTCTGCACTTCCATATAGCCTTCATTTATTTTGTTTGTTTGTTTTCCTCCCTTCTTTTTATTTTCCTTTTTTCCCCTCCCTTTCCCCTTTCCCTTTTTATTTCCCCTTAGTTAAATTGTTAGTTCATGGTAGTCTTTATTTAATTATTATAATTATTTCCCTTTAATTAAACTATCCTTATCTCAACCCGTGAGTTGTTCTTTGCTTTACTTCTCCCCCTCCTCATCTAAAGGAGGGGGAGTGAGAGAGCGGTTGTGGGGTTTAGCTGCCCAGTACGGTAAAACCACCACAAGTGGCTGCAGGGGTTAGAGTGAACATTGGGCCTGTCATAAGACTTGGAGTGGCCGCAGGGTCTGTCACTAGGGTTATAGTGGCATCGATTGCAGCTCGATAGGCATAGGCCAGACCCCAGGACATTGCAGTGATTTGTGTATCTCTGGTATTGCCAGAGTGATGACACCCCTTTTTCAAGCATTCTACCAGTTTTTTAGGATTTTGCAGTTGTTCAGGGGTGAATTTCCAAAGCACTGGAGGTGTCCACTGCTCTAGAAACCTGCCCATATCCTCCCACGCTCCCTGCCACTCACAACTGTCCTGCCTCAGGACAGATCTCTGGATGGCATTCCTAAGTAGTTGTTTGATCTTAAACAAAACCTGAAGCACATTCAGGAGACATAACAATAACAACATGCTGGTGTGAACATCCCAAGGATATTCGAAATCTTGAAGAACTATCGTAACTAGCCCGGAGGAGAAGAGGGGGGTGAAGGAAAAAGGGAGAGTGAACAAGTGGGAAAAAATATCTCCCTCGTCCCCTCCATAGATTGTCTCCCTCAAGAAAAAAGGGTAAAAGATGTAATTGTTAACAGTTTCTGAGATACGGTTTCTGAAGTACAGAGTCGATGACAGTGCTGAGTACAAATACCAGGTTAGTCTCATGACCAGCAATTTTATCATATCATAAGCCAGTGTTACACCGCACAGTAAAATAATAATCTTCAACCAGCACCTGGAAAGGATAAGCAGCATGACAGGGAGCACATACAGTAAGTAATATTCCATATAACACAATTTGGAAAACAGGCACAGCAGACCTGAGATCAAAGCAATCAACACTGTGACTAGCAACTATTAAGCAAATCGAATACTTATACCAATTTTGGTTTTACACACTCTGGTCAGATCTGTCATTATCAAAACCCTTTGCGCCCCACGTTGGGCACCAAAAGGACTGTTGTGGTTTAACCCAGCTGGCAGCTAAGCATCACACAGCCGTTCGCTCACCCTCCCCCCTCCCTCTCTATGATGAGACAGAGAATTAGAAAGAAATGAAAGCCTCTGGGTTGAGATAAAAACAGTTTATTAGGACAGAAAATAAAGGAAAATGATAATAATAATAATGATACTAATAATAATAATAATAATGTGTACAAACAAGTGATGCACAATGCAATTGCTCACCACCTGCTGACGGATGCCCAGCCTATCCCTGAGTAGCTGGTCCCCCCACCCTGGCTAGCCACCCCTATATATTGTTCAGCATGACGTCAGATGGTATGGAATACCCCAATATAAGCCTACGTTTGAAAAATATACTATTTGAATGTTTATAAATTATACTGACAAACAGTAATCATCCATACATTTTGCAGATATTGTACAAGATCTTCAATATTAAAAGTAACCACTGAGAAATGCTGTTACAGCAGCTATTTCCTATTGTATTCCCTGTATTTTTTAACTCAAATGAGCACAATGTAAATTAAAACGACACAAAACAGAGGCAAAACCTGACTGTGTTTCTCAGACAAATTATTCCTTTTAGTACACCACAAGTATTCATAGCCTGTGGACTGTTACTTGAATTCAATGTTTTTGTTACTCTGAACAGCACATTCCAAAGTGAAATTAAAGTCAAAAGCAAGACACTGAGGAAGTATGCCACATTAACATGCTTTAAAGAATAGAAAAATTAAAAAAGTGTAAAGAACAGACTACCAGAAGTCTTACTGAACAGGTGAAAAATTCAGTTCTGTTTTGCTCCCCCTGCCCCTTTCAGGGAGCCACTTAAGTCAACCTACCCACTGAATCCTCCAAATACTTTATGGGATTATCTAGCCTTATTAGCTAACCCTTCACGTATTTTACAACATCAGTCCCAACCTCTGAAAACAATACCCCACACCTAAAAAGATTAACAGCATACTTAAGAAATAAATGTGCTTACTATTCTTGAATCAGAGAATGGATTGTACTCATCTAGTCCTGGAAGAACATTTCTTGTCACTTGTGTAACAGAAGGATCCTAGAAAAAAAAAAAAAAACAGTTCTGTAAATGTATGCACATGTATAGAAGCAACAAATCAACGCTTACTTTCCTCTATCCTTAGAATACAAGGGCACAATATTGAAAGGAAATTGATAAAGAAAAAGGGATCAATACGTGGCTCCAAGGCTGGTGTCAATGGCAGAATTGACACCAGTTTCTTGACCGTGGAATGGTCTACTGTGGTGGTTTTACTTATCTGGGCAGCTGAGCTGCACCACAACCACTCTCTCACTCCCCTTCCTCAAAGGGAAAGCGGGAGAAAATACGATACAAAGGGCTCAAGGGTTGGGATAAGGACAGGGAGATCATTCAACAATTATCATCATGGACAAAACAGACTCAGCATAGGAAGATTAATTAAATTTATTACCTATTGCTAACAAGCTAGAGCATGGAGAGACAAGGAAAAAAAAAAAAACTAAAAACACTTTCCCCCCATCTACCCTCTTCTATGTCCTCCCCCTGAGCAGAGCAGGGAATGGGGGTTGTGGTCAGTTCATAACACTTAGTCTCTACTGCTCCTTCACGGTCACTCTCTTCCCCTGCTCCAGGATGGAGCCTCTCCCACAGGATGCAGTCTTTCCCAAACTGGTCTTACGTGGGTTTCCCCCAGGAAGGAGCTCTTCAAGAACTGCTCCAAATACCGGTCCGTACCGCAGGCTCCATCCGTTAGGACCAAACTACTCCAACATGGGTCCCCCACAGGCAACAGCTCCTAAAAGATCACCTGCTCCAGCATGGGCTCCTCTCCACGGGCTACAGGTCCAGACTGGAGTCTGCTCCAGCAGGGGCTCTCCATGGGCTGCAGCGTGGAAATCTGTTCCACCATGGTACACCATGGGCTGTACCTCCTCTCCCTCCTTGTTCACTGACCTTGTTGTCTGCAGGGCTGTTTCCCACTCCTTACTCTCCCAGCTGCTGTTGCACAACATTTTTTTTCCCTTTCTTAAATATGAGCTCACATAGGCACAAACAACTGCTTATTGGCTTGGCTCTGGGCAGCAGCAGGTCCCTTTGTAGCTGGTTGAAACTGGCCCTTATCAAACATAGACTCTTCTCACAGAGGCCACCCCTGCAGCCCCCCACTACCAAAACCTTGCCACGTAAACCCTATACATCTACACATCACTAGGCCTGCTGGTGTCTGATGAGATGTACCTTTCTCAGAGGAGGGGAAAAGGATTTCTGCACAGTAGTTAGTAGAGCTGGCATCCCTTCCTTCTCTTCTATCAACCACACTACTCAACTTTGTGTCATCTGCAAATCTGCTGAGGGTTCACTTGATCCAACTGTCTGTGTCATTGATATAGTACAGAGGTGAGGCTCACCAGTCTGTAGTTTCCCTGGTCCTCCTTTCTACCCTTTTTAAAAATGGGAGCAATGTTTTGCTTTTTCCAGTCACTAGGGACTTCCTTCAGGACCCTGGGATGCATGTCATCAGGGCCCATAGACTTGTATGTGTTTAGGTTCATCAGGTGGTCTTGAACCTGCTCATCTCTTACAGTGGGTGGGACTTTGCTCCCCCAGCCTCCATCTACGGGTTCAGGGAAATGAATCCCTCCCTGTTATTCTTTGCTTCCTTTGCCAAGCTCATTTCCTCCTGCACAAAATGTTTAGCATGCAGCTAGATTAATACATAATACAGTGGGTGAACAATTAGATGACAGGTCTGGCTCAAAGGGTTATATCAGGCTGGCAGCCAGTCACTAGTGGAGTTCCAGTAATATTTATAAAAGGCAAGTAAACAGTGCTGGGTGCGCAGGGAGTCTATGCTCTACCAACACACACACACGAACATCAAACTTTCTAAATATACAGAACATTGCTTTTACATACTAAACACGAGTACGTCCATACATATGTACAATCAGAACAAACAATCCTTTAAGTCTATCACTATTAAGGTCCATGTCTGGGGGAGCATAGTTGGAGTTGGTAATCCTCGTTGAAGTGCTCCCTTATCTTCCATGACTTAATAGTTTCCTTTTTCCATTCATTTTCCTGATTACAAACACCAGAGAATTCCAGGGCTAGTTGTGGGAACAATATGTCTTGCTTTAAGTTGTCAAGCAACTCAGCCTTCGGGCCTTATGTATCCTATTCTTCCCAGAATGAAGAAAAACATATCCATCTCCTTTTCAAGGCCAATAGGGCCTGGGTCAAAAGGCACGTCCAGGTCACCAGGGGGCGTAACAGCAAAAGCCTTAAAGCAAGATAAATATTACAAAATTCAGATTGAGTTGAGACCTCATTTATAAAAAATCAGTGACCCCGACGTGATCTTCTTGGACTTTGGATCTGTGACTGGTAAAGGGAGTGGCCCTTGCCGATAGCAGTGCTAGAGTCCAACAAGATTTTGAACATAAGAGGCAAGTAAGAAACCAAGAGGTCTTCTTTTGTGACCCATAATTCTGCATGCAAAGACCCGAACGAAGATACCGTTCGGTTGGGTGGAATTCGGTTGTGTGACTGTATGTAAGGGTGTAACTGAGATGGAATTTAGTTCTGAAGCTAAGAATTCGTGGGTGGGTTAACCACTTGCAAGACACCTCTAGACACAGGCACAGCCAGGGATTCGGAACCTCTTTAAGGGTTCCAGGGATTTGGAACTTATTTGAAGCTTCCAGGGATTCGGCCAGGGATTCGGAACCTCTTTGAGGATTCCAGGTGTTATATATGGAGTGGTAATTCGTGTTGAGAAAATGGTTGATATTAATAAAGAAGGGGGAGATTTGGGAATGTGGCCATGGGGGTCGGAAAGCCCCATGGTTGAGATAACATTAGACTCTTAATGATGAGGCCATCAGGAATATAAAAGAGTTTAGAGGGAACAAAGAAGGGTGATTCAGGAGACTCCATGCAGTCTCCGGTTTCTTGTTCTCCAGCTGGTTCTCTTGTTCTCCAGCCATTAAGGCATGGAAGTTGCCGAATGTTTTCTGTTGTTGTTATATGCAAAGTTGTTTGACCAATGAAAAGTTGTTTTGAAAAGAACTGCTGTAGAGACAAGGGTATAAGAGGGGAGCCTGCCCTCAAGATAAAAAAGGCAGCACAATGAAGTTACATCAATAAAGAAGCAGGAAAAAGAAGTGAAGAGGAACAGGCACTTTGATTGCCTCATGAAGATAGGCCAAACTCAGCAATCTGCTCAGAGAAGCTTGTACTGAAAGTCGCTGGAAATAGGCGCACTGGAGCTGGAGAGAAGCTCGAGCTGAGAGAAGCGGACCCGTGCACACAACTGCCTCTTGCTGGTAAGCAGTTGCGCATTATGGGGAATCATATGTCCTTAGAAACAAAGACTGTCCTGGTAACCTTACAGCTTATTCTCCTTACTAACAATTGGACAGTTTATGAGCCTGAAATATGGGACCAAACTGAGGTCAAGGTGTGGGACTCTGCAACTAAAAATGGCAAGGTTGCAGTGGGATTGCTCGGTACCTGGCAAGCAGTCTCTGAGGCCTTAAAGAGCCTTGTGGGGCCACAGTCATAAACATGTCATTTTCCAGACAGTGAGGGAGCTGTGGGCTCCTTTACTGATCCGACTGCTACACCATCGGCCCACACACCGCTACAGCCATCAAAGAGCTTTGCTGTTATGCCCTCTGCTGACCCGAATGTGCCTTTTGACCCAGGCCTATTGGCCTTGAAAAGGAGATGGATATGCTTTTCTTCGATCCAGGAAGAACGGGATACATAAGGCCTGAAGACCGAGTTGCTTGACAACTTAAAGTGAGACATATTGTTCAAATGGAATGGAAAATGGAGACTTGTTTGTAGTCAAGAAAAGGAATTGAAAATGGAGACTGTTGAGTCATGGAAAATAAAGGATTGTTTGTTACCTTTTCTGATTGTACGTATGTATAGCCATACTCGCGTTTAGTATGTAAAGCAATGTTCTGTATATTTAGAATGTTTGATGTTTGTGTGTGCGTGTTGGTGGAGCGTAGACTCCCCGCACACCCAGCAATGTTTACTTGCCTTTTTATACCTTTTATAGCTTTTATACCTTTTATAACTTTTATTCCTTTTATAAATATTCTTTTATGAATATTACTAAATTCAGATTGAGTTGAGACTTCATTTATAACAATGACATAACTTCATCGTGTTGCCGTTTTTTCTTCTTGAGGACAGGATCCCCTCTTATACCCTTCTCCCCACAGCGGTTCTTTTCAAAGCAACTTTTCATTGGTCAAACAACTTTGCATATAACAACAGTAAATACCCAGAAACTTCCATGCCTTAGTGGCTGGAGAACAAGCAACCCAAGACTGCATGGCATCTCCTGAATCCTTCTTTGTTCCCTCTAAACACTTTTACATTCCTGATGGCCTCATCGTTAAGAGTCTGATCATCAACCATGGGGCTTGCCGACCCCCATGGCCACACTCCCACATCTCCCCCTTCTTTATTAATTTCAACCATTTTCTTGACACTAATTATTATGCCATATATCACACACTCAAAGCATTTAAGAGTAACAGTAGGATCACAAGATACACTGCCAGGCCCATATATTGGTCACCACCAGTCAACTCTTGGATAAAACAGCACTTCCTTTTGATCTGTCATGCGCTTCATTCGTCTCCGGCCACTCCCCTCGTGGAGAATACGGAACCACGGATTGGAACTCCGCACTCGCTTCACAGTGATGTTGCGTGTCACTCACACAGCACAATCACACAATCACACAGAGAGGCCTCTAGCACATCTCATTCATACCACAAGAATATAATTTAGAATGATAACCAACCAAACAAGTATTGTCTCTGACTGTGTTCTTCGTGGAGTGACTTATTCCACTTTGTTTCAAACCCATACCCTTACACAAATACTTTCAACACAAAATACCTGGACATTTAAGAATAAGATATACAGTAATTAACACTCCAGTTAGTATCCCTCCAGCAGCTGAAAATATTACCCAGGTAACCTTGTCACAATTGTGAGAGGCCTGCTTACCCTTCTCCTGCTTCTTA